TCTGCCCCAGTCTGCCCCAGTCTGCTCCCAGTCTGCCCCAATCTGCCCCAGTCTGCCCCAATCTGCTCCCAGTCTGCTCCCAGTCTGCTCCCAGTCTGCCCCAATCTGCCCCAGTCTGCCCCGGTCTGCCCCAGTCTGCCCCGGTCTGCCCCAGTCTGCTCCCAGTCTGCCCCAGTCTGCCCCAATCTGCCCCGGTCTGCCCCAGTCTGCTCCCAGTCTGCCCCAGTCTGCCCCAATCTGCCCCGGTCTGCCCCAGTCTGCTCCCAGTCTGCTCCCAGTCTGCCCCAATCTGCTCCCAGTCTGTTCCCAGTCTGCCCCGAATCTGCTCTCAGTCTGCTCCCAGTCTGCCGGCTGCCCATCTTCACTCCCAGTCAGCACCTGCTGGTCCCGAAGCTGAGGGAGAAAGGAGAGAGAGTGTCAGCTCTGTGCCTTGTCCTTGGACTTTACCTGAATGCCTAGAGAGCATGTGTCCAATCTTAATCTACTGTAGAAAACCTGCTTATTGGACTTGCATACTGGATATTATAACCTGAGAATGCAATTTTAATTATATTTCCACAAGAACAAAAAACAATCTGAATTTTTAATAGAATGTACTGAAATATGATTTCGCCAGAATGCACAGCTATGAAACCAATTAATTAAAACTTTTAATATTGCTTATTACATATGATATGTACCTGCTTATATCACGGCTAATTTCTGGTAATTGAATTCAGCGCGTATTTATGGAGAAGCCTACTCAGTCCCTCGCAGGGTTTGCGCAGTGATCCCTGGACTCTGGAATTAACTGACCAGTATGTTTCCTATAGAACCGGGGAGTCTAACTAGGATTCCCTCCTTTTTATTTTATCAAGTAAGACCTAAAACCAAATCAAGAATTTTTATATCTACTGTCTCCATTGATTCAAAAAAATAAACAACAGTCAACACCAAAAGGTGGGACGTGGCCAAGAAAAGGTTCTGTGTTTTTTTTCCATTGCTTTTTTAAAAATCAAATTTACTGATGCATAATTTATACATGAAAAAGGCACCCACCTTAACAAACAGAAAAAAGTAGGAAAGACAAAATCTTAGATTATAGAACAGCTACTAAAAAGGAAAAAATTAAGTTTTTGAAAAACTCATTATTCACCTTTATTTTTCTGTTTTTAACCATGGATTGGTGAAAATGTCATCAGCTGGTCTGCAGGTGGAATTTAGGAGCCACCACTCTAGGAGGGGCTGAAAAGGGGGACTCTTCCCACTACAGAGAGAATGTGAAGTAGCCATGAGGATCCTTGCCAGAGACCAGGAAGTGGGAAGGGAGGCCCCAGCGAGGCAGGGTGGTTGGTGGCTGTACAGTGGAGGGGAGACCATTCTTTAGTGTTCATTTATTCCTCCATTGCCTTTTACAATCCACTTCTTTTGCTTGTTTCACATGTTTAGCCTATCAGCTTATCACCGTGGTGATTGCAGCAGCAGGAGGTGGGCTTCTGCTTATCCTAGGCATTGCGCTCATAGTCACCTGTTGCAGGTAAGTGATAGGAGTTCAGATTCTCATCCTGTTTCTTTGCCTGTGCTATGCAAGGGTCAACTCTTTTAAAGAATTTTAACTCTTTTAAAATTTACTCTTTTAAAGAATACTTGAGGTGGTTTACAATATTAAATCATGATGTGTGACCAAACCATTAAAAAAAGACAAAAGGGAGATTCATGATAGTTGGTACATGTGGGGAAAGAGAAGGGAAATAAATGGAACTTTATTTTCTTTATTAAAAAAGAATGCCCAAAAGCACAAGAGATAAATTGGGCATCATCAAAATGAAAAACTTTTGTATTCCAAAGGACACGATCAAGAAAATGAAAATGAAAAGACAATCCACAGAATGGGAGAGATTATTTGCAAATCATATGTCTAATAAGGGACTTGTATCTAGAATATAGAAAGGGCTCTTACAACTCAATAATAAAAAGACAACCTAATTTAAAGATGGGCAAAGGACTTGAATAGACATTTCAATAGACAAATGGCCAGTGAGCACATTGTCTTAGTCCAATTAGTGTTGCTATAAAGGCATACCTGAGGCTGGGTCATTTATAAAGAAAGAAAGTTTGTTTGGGTCACGATTCTGATGGCTGGAAAGTTTGAGATTGGGCACTACATCTGGTGAGAGCTTCAGGCTGCCTCGTGGTGGAGGTGAAAGGGGCCTCCTGGTGGGAGGGGGCAGGGGAAGTGTGAGGCTTTCTTTAACAACCAGCTCTCAGGAGCTCACAGAGCGCAACTCACCACGCCCAAGGGCTGGCATTAATATATTCATGAGAGACCCGCCCTCATGATCCCGACACCTCCCACTAGCCCACCTCCCAACACCTCCACACCGGGGATTAAATTTCAACATGAGATTTGGTGGGGACAAGCAAACCATATTTAAACCATAGCACACACGACAGGATGCTCAACATCGTCATTAGTCATCAGGGAAATGCAAATCAAAACCACTATAAGATTTGTGGCAGATTTCCATTCATATTGTTGGGTGAAAACCTGTTGTTTTGTTTTGCTCCTTGAGCCATGATGAAGTCCACATTCTAGGCTTTAACTCTTGAATGATTTTACTTTGAAGAGTGCCTATTATGCTGTTCAGTGTGTAATGCAGGACTGAGTACTTCCTCTAGGGCTGGTCTGGTCTTTGCAAAATTCATCAGTGATTGCTTGTCTGGGAAGGACTTTATTACTCCCTCATAGATGAAACTTAATTTTGCCGGATAAAGAATTCTGGGTTGGGCTTTATTCTGTTTTAGTAGATTAAGGATAGGGACCCAGTCCCTTCTGGCTTGTAGGGTTTCAGTTGAGAAATCAGCAGTTCTCTACACATCTGATAAAGGGCTGATAACTAGAATCTATCTAGAACTCGAAAAGTCAACAAGAAAAAATCAAACAACCCCATCAACAAATGGGCAAAGGAAATGAACGGAAACCTTTCAAAAGAAGACAGAATAATAGCCAGCAAACATATAAAAAAATGCTCAACATCTCTAATCATTAGAGAAATGCAAATCAAAACCACAATCAGATATCACCTAACCCTAGTGAGACTGGCCTCTATCAAAAAATCCCAAACCAACAAATGCTGGCGAGGATGCGGAGAGACAGGAACACTCTTACACTGCTGGTGGGACTGCAAATTAATGCAACCTCTGTGGAAAAGAATTTGGAGATACCTCAGAGAGCTAAAAATAGAAATACCATTCGACCCAGCAATAGCACTATTAGGCATCTACCCAAAAGAGCACAAAACATTCTATGATAAAGACATCTGCACTCGAATGTTTATGGCAACACAATTCACTGTTGCAAGGATGTGGAAACAACCCAAGTGCCCATCAATCCATGAGTGGATTATTAAAATTTGATATATGTATACAATGGAATATTACTCAATCATAAGAAACGACAGTGATCTAGAACCTCTTATACTTTCCTGGATTAAACTTAAGCCCATTACCCAAAGTGAGGCACCACAAGATCGGAAGAATGGACTCCACTTATACTCGCCATCAAGTTGGTACTAACTGATCAACACTAGGGTGATCACATGGCAGCAATACTCTCCAAGGATTAGGAGGATGGGGGGAGTAAATCCGAAACAAAAGGACACAACACTGTAGGGGGGGAAGGTCATGCCTTTAACCCTGACTTGGGTGAGGCAAAGACATAAAGTGTAACCATAATGTTTGTACCCTCATAATACCGTGAAATAAAAAAAAAAAAGAAAAAAACCGCTATGAGATACTACTTCACACTCATTAGGATGGCTCACAAAAACCAGAAAATAACGATTGTTGGTGAGGATATGGAAAAATTAGAACACTCATATAGTGCTGGCAGGAATGTAAAATGGTGCGGCCACTTTGAAAAAGTTTGAAAGTTAAATATAGAGTCACCATTTGACCTAGCCCTTCCACTCTTAGGTATATACCCAAGAGAAATGAAAATATATATCCACACAAAAACTTTACATGAATGTTCATAGCAACATTATTTGTAATAGCCAAAAGGTGAAAACAATCTCAATGTCTTATCAGCTGATGAATGGGTAAACAGAATGCAATATATCTATACATGGAATATTATTCAGCCATAAAAGGAAGTACTGATACATGCTACAGCATGAATGAACCTTGAAAATGTACTAAGCAAAACAAGCCAGTCACAAAAGACTACCTGTTGATTGTGTGATTCCATTTATATGAATTACACAAATCTGAAATAGACAAATCTAATAGAGACAGAAAGTAGATCAATGATTGCCTAGGGCTTGGGTGGAGGATCGGGGAGGGAGAGAGTGGGGGGTGGTAGTTAAGGGATATGGGGTTTGGGGTTTCTTTTGAGGGTGATGAAACTGTTCTAAAATTGATTGTGATGATGGTTGCACAACTCTGTGCTAAAAAGTCATTCAGTAGGTGAATCATATGGTATGTGAATTCTTTCTCAATAAAGCTATGCACAGAGAGATAGAGAAGCAGACAGAGTACAAAAGATGAAAGGGGTTGCCTGAAATATTTCAGCAGCAGGGAAGCTGCAGCAGTGACGTGGGATGAGCAGGACTGTTGGCTCTAGGCTTCTCGGAAGCCAGTGGGATTAGGTTTCTACTGGGGAAGGAAGAGAAAGGAGGAAATTGATCCCCCTCCCCTGTGATTATCTATTCAGATAAGGGATGATTATGACCTCTGATTTAGATGATAATAAAGCGCAGAAATTACCTGGACTTAACAGATGGCGGGAACCTAACAAAATAGCAAGTTATCTCTTCTACCACTGACTTGAAGGACATTTTAAGATACCCTCTGTCTCCAGGAAGGCTCTAACTGCCTGGTCAGGAATGCAGGCCTTTGCCTATATTTTACCAAATTGCCATCAAATCATCAAACTGAGTGGAAATAAACATCTGGGCATGAGGCTAGGAGCAGTTACCTAGAGGGACAACACCTGAGTGTTCAAAGGGCCATGAGCCTCTCATATTTGCTACGTGTTCTCTGCCATGTGGGGTAGCCATTTGGAGAAAGAGCCTTACTTCAGAGACGGGTTACAGCGAGAGGAAGGTCCCACCCTCCAGGGAGCAACACAGTGGCAGGTCTGTTCCAAACTTCTACAAAGGGCCAATGCCGAAGCCACATACTGGACATTTGGTTTCATGACCCTGAGTCATTTTGTGCCTGCCCTGGAAAATTTATTTATAGGTGAGAGAGGTAGAAGGAAAAAGCGTCAGATTATCTTCCCAGTGGCAATATAATTTAAAATTTCTGGTCCTAGGCCTGTCAGATAGGTGAAGAACACATATTCCAACGATTTCCAGTCAGTGAAATCTCACAAGTAGGGGTTCTCTGACCTGCTGAAATGAGAATGTGTATAGGTATGTAAATAAGTGGTCTTTTCTGCAAACAAACTACCCTGCTTTTATGATTAGTGAAGTAGCTTCGTGTGGTAGAAAGGGTATTGCCTGGGGAATTGGGAGGCTGCGTTGGAGTCCCAGCTTTGCTAGTAGCAAAAGGGCTCCCAGGGACAAGTCAGGTCTCTTTACCGAGCCAGAACTGCCCCATCCCCAGAGCTTCCGATTCCGTGTATCCAGGTGAGACCCAGACTCTTCCCACATAATTCTGCCTCTCGGGCAGGCTGGGAGCCGTTGCACTAGAACTCTGAGGGTCTTTGTGGCTCCAGCAGTCTGTGAATTTAAGACTCTTATTTCCCAGCCACCCTCAGACACAGTGATCTCTGCCCACAGAGAGTCTAAGTCTGCTCCGTCACAGCTGCTTTCGTCCCCCTGCCGCTGACAATCTGGCCCTTTGGGGTTGGAAGACTTTTGCATCTTTTTTTGCACCTAACTGCATTTTCACTTGTTTTAGGCAAATACTAAAAATAATAACACTTCTCAGTGGGAAGCTACATAGAGATATAATGGTAGCTTTCAGTCTAATTTATATTATAAAATAATAGTTGTTGCTTTCTTAGATATCACTTCATTATGGAACTTATCCATTAAACTTTTCAAATATTTTTTACCCCACAGAAAGAATAAAAATGATATAAGCAAACTCATCTTCAAAAGTGGAGATTTCCAAATGTCCCCATACGCTGAGTACCCCAAGAACCCTCGCTCTCAAGACTGGGGCCGAGAAGCTATTGAAATGCATGAGAATGGAAGTACCAAAAACCTCCTCCAGATGACGGATGTGTATTACTCGGTGGGTATCCCTGCGCCACAGCAGCCTCAGGGCCCCGCTTGCCTCTGAGAAGTAAAGGATTCTGTCTTGTTGTAGCAAAAGCATTGCGGTTAGCTAAGGGTTCAAGAGAATGGTGGCATGAGCCTCTTACTTACATATCTTAATATTCAGTATGCTTACGATCTGTTTGCATGGTAGTTTTCAGTGTTGATGTGTGGTAGGGGTCCCCAGCCCCTGTGAAACAGAAAAAAATTTTATGGAAACTCTGTATTAGGGACTAAAGCTGTAAAAATTCTTAATGGGTTTAGGTTGTAAAACTGCTAACTTACTTTATGACTTCTGCAACGTACTTACAAAGAGCAGGCCTACACCTGAAAGATAAGAACTCAAGGCCGACATACGTGCCTGACCACTGCCTGCTCAGGACGCTGCCCCCACGGAAAATAGAGATAACTGCATTGCAACTGTGCCCCTCACCCTTTCTAAAATGTATAAAGGACTGTTCCACTCTTTGTTCGGCGCTCGAAATTTAAAGCCTGTCCTCTGAGCCGCACCAGTGAATAAACGCTCGTCTTCTCCCTCGCCTGGTCTCTGGGTCAGTTGTTAGGAGAAGTCTCCCCCTCTCCTCCTACAACAGATGTAGAGAGACAGTGGATATTTCCATAGAGCACATTACTTTATGGGGTTGTAGCGATAATGCTCTTGTTACTGAACTTGCATTTAAGTTGTAGGAATGGAACCTGAAAGGTGGAGAAAGAATTTAGTGATATTTTGCCCTTGGCCCTTTCATTTTTATCTCCTGTCTGCCATGCTTGCCTCGTGTGGTTAGGTAGTTAAAACTGGGGGGTTGGAAAAAGGTATGAAGAGAGCAATTCAGTTCCGTCCTGCACACTTCTCAGAGGTTCAGAAGATGATACGCTAAGTAGGTGTTTGGTAATTTGCTATGTCCAGCCTGGACCGCATCATTTGTAGAAACAGGAGACTACCTTGAATCCACACTGGATTTAGCCCATGTCACGTCCCTGTGCGCTGCCCCGTTCATCTCACATCACACCAGGTCAGCCATGAAGCAAACACAGCGGGGGTATCGGAGCTGAAAAATCAACAGATGTCAGGTGACTTCTCACGCTGTGTGGAGCTCTCTCGGGAAGAGCAATAAACGTGAAACCTTGCCCCCGGCAGACTTAATGGCACTAGACTCTTGTTACAGGAACCACAATCCCTCTGGTTGCTATGGGAATTAACCATGAGGATTCAGACTTTGGATGAGAGGGGCGAGTTTGCTTATGCTAAGGACATGTTTGTTTTAATGGACTCTGAAAAATTTGAACCTGCAAGAAGAAGAAAAAGTTATAAATAAGGGGAAAGATAAACATTGACATAGACACAAGCGTAGCTCTAGGGAAAATATTTCCATTGGTATTTCTGCATAGGGATTTGCTTTTTTCTGTTATCAGGACGGTCTTTTTCTGTACCACTGAAGCTGTAACTAGGCAGGTATTGAGCCAGGTGCGTCTGCGCATGCGCATCCTTCACCAGGGACTCCTGGCCCCAGCGCAGTGAGATAACTAGCACCAAGTGGGACCCAGCTGCACTGCGTGTTTCCATGGCATTAGCTGAAGAGTTGCCTTAAATAGATATTGTCAAGAACTTAAATGAACCCCATCTTGATTTTAAAAATTCTAGGCTGAGCAGTCAATAGAGGCAGAGGCTAAGCTCAGGGCATGAAGCCGTCACCTGACTGGACAGCTGTACCTCACAGCAGGCTCTACGGGTGACTCTCACATTGGGCTCCCCTGGGGTTCACGTTTGTAATATGCAGGATCTCACGTCTCATTTCCGCCAGGAAAGCATTTACCTCTGGTGCCACCTCGAGGTGCCACCTCGAGGCCACCTTGGGGCCTCCTCAAAGTAGCCCCTGTTACTCCCAGGGACTTTTGTGCAGATCAGCGAGGTAGTTCATGACCCACTACACTAGTGTTTGGTCAGAGTCACCTGCGATTTGCTTTTGGCCTCCTGGTTTGGGGTCCTAACTCGACCTCCAGCAAGGTGGCCATGGGACCTTGCAAAAGTCAGTCCCCATTTGTGACAGTTGCCTTCTGCGCAGTGGCAGGGAGAGAGTAGCCTTTTGCTAAATGCCAGGGAGGATTTAAAGCCAGTTGTGCTCCACAGAGAAAGCTACTTTAAAAAATTAATAATTAGTAGAACTACATCATGCAGGATAAACCCAGGTCTTTTGCTATGTTGGGCTAAAGTCATTGGACTTTAACACTTAAATTTAAACACAAGAATAGTAAATTGATTTTTCTTCTTTCCTCTTTGGCATCTAGCCTACAAGTGTAAGGAATCCTGAACTTGAACGAAATGGACTCTACCCAGCCTACACTGGATTGCCAGGATCACGGCATTCGTGCATTTTCCCTGGACAGTATAACCCGTCTTTCATCAGCGACGAGAGCAGAAGAAGAGACTACTTTTAAGTTCAGGAGAGAGAGGGGCCCTTTTGCTCTGAGCAGTGACCTGGGACCTCAGTGGCTCAGAGGACTGCACCAGGAGGCTGCTCCCAGGACTTGTCGGAGCCACACTTGAGTGGCAAGCAGAAACCGGGACAGGTGTGAGGGGCTTGGCCACCGTGGAGGGGACAGATGGATGTGGAACCGCAGGCTGCTCATTTGGCACCTTCGTTGTTACTGTGAATGTAAACGTGGGCCAGTACCAAGAGAGTGTCTCTGAGTGACTGAACCATGGGGCTGGCACCCGGCAACTACCAGCCACGGCAGACCACTAGGTATCACTGCAAGGACCCGGTTTTCCTTAGTTTGCACTTTAGTAAATTGGGTAGAGAGGTTTCCTTTTGGATTTGTTTCACAACTGTTTCAGAAAGAAGGCTTCCTTTCCTGGGACACTTCCACAGGCCCCAATTTGGTGATTGATTTACAGCAAAATATTGGCTTATTAGTTATTTCCCTGCCCAGTGCCTGTGTGTCAAACAACAGATGATCGTGAACATGCCACTAAGGTTTGAGGATGCTGCCATTGAACGTACAGTATTTTAATATGTGTCTAGGTTGTCTTATGTGACAGTTTCCTAGCCAACCCCCAAAATGAAGAATTGAAATTTGTGAGGCACAGCACACAACTCCAATTTGGTTTTTTTAGTCAAGGTGATACATTTATTTAAGACTTTTTTTTTTCTATTTGCAGTTAAATCTCATTTTTTCAAACAAGTCTGGATTGGGGCAAAACAACTGGTGTTATTTAGATGCATCCAGCTGCCCCATAGTGAGGCCCAGCAGGCAGATTGGCGGCTGGCACTGCAGACGGTGGGGCACTTTTCAGCCGTGAGGGCATTGCCTGGGGCGTGGGACACTGACCGCCATCATCGAGGCCAGAGGCTGCTGGGTATGAAGTAGAAATGTAAAGCTGAATGCAGACTGGGTCTGAACTGGTATTTCAGTACTGCAGGAAAAGCAGCTTGATGTAGTCTCTGCAGCTGGACGTGGCTAGAGGAATGGGCTGAAAAGGCAAGTCAGATTTCTTGCATCACCAGTGCTTTGGGAAGCTGTGTGGATTCCTAAGGAAGAGTAGGGGGCTGAGATAGAGCCGCAGGTGAGCTTGCCTACCTGCTAGTGCAGCCTCTTGTATCCATCATCTCATTCACGAACTCCATGCAAACTTTCAACCACTCAAAGCTATTTATTCGTTGAAGAAATAACTTATAATTTTCCTCACCCAGTCATTTGTACCTCTTTATGCTACTGTGTAGTGCCCTCCAGAAACAGAGTTAGCATTCAAGTCAGCGTTGGAGAACTAAGGACTCTGGCCAGTCAGAGATCTGAGAGTTTGCCTTTGGGAAGGAAATTCCACACATCTTATTTATTATGCCTGTGACTTGGGTCCTGTGCAACTGTGTTTATTCGCTTGCTTTTGGAACAGCGCAGTTTTGGATGAAGTGAAGGGAACACAGAGGTAAAGGGATTGTCCCCACCCTGAAGCTGAGAGCCGTGGCACACACATTTCTGGAAACGGTGCAGCCATTGGGGACGATTCTGCCCTGGGCATGGTTGTTTCTTAAAGGTTCTCTGATCTCTTCAAAACATATGTCAATCCTCATCCTTATGCAATTCTTGTCCCAACGATTTAAAATATGAACCTGTGTCCCATGGTCTCCACAACTCAGTGTCATCCTGCTGTAGCAGGAGCACTGGGCAGGTGCGGTGCATTTTAGTAGTTAAATTACATTCATCTCGTGAGATAAATGTAAAAAGAATTCTGTTTTCATCAGTAGATGCTAACTTAAAGTTTCAAAGCGTCACCTTTTTGAAATTTTAGGTCTCACATCTCTCTCTCTCTGTAGAACCAAAGGCCCCTTTGTGCCTCGCTGCCTTGGATCTAACTGGAGAGCTCCAAGCTCCCGCATCAGCTCACCTGAGCCAGTGGACTGGGGTCCCTCGTGAGGCGGCCTTGCTTTGTGGCTCGGCCTTGCTTTGTGGCTCGGCCCTGCTCACCCCTGACCCACAGCTGTGGGAAGAGCCATGGTGGGAGGCTACTCCCAGGCACACCCGTCCCTACCTTCAGCAGACATGGCAGCTGACAAGTCATCTCCTCTGTCAGGGCCAGAGCTCTAAGCTCCACGAAATGAGTGTTCTGTCCCAAAAGCATCCTTGGGAAGGATCCCAAAGTTCAGAAAAGTGTGTCCCATAAGTTCCAAGAGTGCTTTCCTGTTCATGAGTTTTGTCCATACGGAGTGAAGTAAGAGTGTTTTATTTTGTTGCTGTCCTTGTTTTAACTGAGAAAAAGGGAGGCACCCTGCCACGTTGAGTTCACACGTTTCTACTATTTCCAGGAAGCTTTCCCCAGGGGTGGGGAAAGCTCTAAGAAGGCTTGAGAAAGGCAGGACTGTGACCCAGTGCTCACTGCCCGCTCTGGGCGAGGAAGGGAGAGGTTGGCTTCACTCCTGCTAAGGGTTCATAATTCCAGAAGGGTCCTGCCTGGGCTGAGGGGGAACAGCTGGCAGCCCGTGGGCTGCAGAGCAGGACTGGACACACACGACAGGTGGAGTCTCTCCACTCGGGCACAGTGCTCACTGTCAGCCTGCACAGCTGGAATGTGTGGTTCATGTGTGCAGAAATGCCATGGTCCAGCCATGGGACCCTACAGCTGGGGGAAGGTGGGAGGAAGGGAAAAGCCATCTTGCCCACTAGCGAAGGGCCCAGGTGCCCTGCGACTCTGTTTAACTTTGCCTGAAGAGGCAGAGCTGTACAGCCCACTTACCCGTGGCTCAGTTTAACCTAAACACACCCCAAACTAGGGTTTCGATCCATATTTCTAAAATACACTGACTTTGAGACTAGAGCACTTCTTTGGAAAGAGGAAGAATGCAAAGTTCAGTATTTTGTATTTTATTTAAAATTGTCTTTGGTATCGGCTATTTTTTCTATCTAAAAGCTTTTGTGGGTATTAGAAGGGACATTTCATTTCCTCCTTGACAAAGTGTCATTCTGAGGTTCACACCTGTGTTTTTGGAAACAGAGATACGGTTTTATAGAGTTTGCCTTAGGGTATGTGTCCTTTTTTTCTTCTTCTTTTCTCAAATTCCCAAGGAAGGGAACTGACTAAAATAGTAGGAACATTAAAGTAGTGAATGCCAATAATTCGTTGTACTAAAGTATCTTCGGTAGCGTCACACTCCATCATCTCTGGTATAAACTGCTCACAGAAAGCCCTTGAAAACCAAAGGGGATCATTTAGGTCTAAAAGGAGATGGGTCCCAGGCTAGCTTTGTCCCCTGGGCATTTTTAAAGAGGACATTTCAAGGAATTTGCATATAAGATTCTGGTTTTGTTTGGGAGGGGTCATGTTAGACTTCAGTGTAGAGTTCCTGGGTAGGGAGGATGGGACAGGGCAGGGGTGGATGGAACCAGTTCTACCTGGGAAGCTAATCCGATTCACTTTCCTTTCTGTATTACCTTGGTCTGTTCCAAAAAGAAAATGAGTGTTTCATCATGAGTTGCTCTAGGTTTTGTTAGTGTCTGTGTTGCTGGATTTACAGTTAAATGAAGCATATAGCTGGAATATGAACTTTTTGAGTCTTCACATTGTCCTGGATTTCTCTTTATAAACCTTTAAACCTTAGCCCCTGGTTGATTGTGTTAAATCCATTACAAGAATGTTATTTAAAGTTGTATTATAATTACAACCTCCACTAATTATTCAGTACTGTAGCAGCAAAATATTATTTGTAAGAATTTGGTTATTTTTATACTTATATCCACTATAAGTCTGGCGTTCTAGTCAGTAAAATGATGCAATAAATTTAATATCATTTTCATTGTGTGTTTTTCTCTTAACAACAAGCAAAATGGAAAAGTACGCGTTACTTTTCAGGAGGGCATTACTTAAACGGTGGAACTGTACATGAACTTCCACGTGGCGAGTGTGGAGACTAAGTCATTTCTGCACCCTCAGTGCCCAGCAGTGAGGAAATAAACTTTTGATGATGGACAGATGGTTGGATGGTTGGACAGAGAGACCTAAATGATGGAAAGCCTGACACGGATACGACACCTGCTTTTGTTTAGTGAATTGGAGAGCATGAGTAACCAATTCGGACACTGAAGATTTCCTCCTAAATGTGTCCCACTAGCACTCCATGCCAACTCTTCGTGTCTTGGAGGAGAAAGGAAAGGAAGCATATCTGTGCTCTGGTGGGCAGGATCTGTGGAACTTGAAGACAATGGGCCGTGGACCTCACACTTGTGGGCAAGGAATGCGGCTGCCTGGCCAGAGATGAGTTCATTAGTTAATTGCTTCCTTAGGAGCCTTGCATGGGGGGGATGAATGGGCCTCTCATATGATTTATGGTAAAAACCTAGGCACTGGGGGAGGCCAGTAATGGCAGTTTGGAGCATGAAGGTGACATTTTGGCAGCTTTGATCAGAGCTATAGCCCGTTGGATGTTTCTGAATGGAGATGACCAGCAGCACTCTTCTGTTCTGACCCGGCTCCTCACCCTCAGCCTTCCAAGACACCTGCTAACAGGCCCCGGCTGCAGTCTTAACAGGAATCCTTTACTGAACGCTTTCTTGTTCTGCTCGGCTCAGCCAAACATTATAAACATCACATCCTTTCCAGACCTTCTCTTCCCTGGCACGTGTTTTTTTTTTTTCTTTCTAATTTTATTTTTTAAATTGTATATATTAAGTTGTACAACATGATGTTTTGGTATACACAGTGAAATGGTTACTATAGTCAAGCAAATTAATACATCCATCATCTCACATAGTTACCTTTGTGTGTGTCTCTGTGTGTAAGGGCACCTCACACCTACTCTCTTAGCAAACTTTCAGTACAGGCCGGGCATGGTGGCTCACGCCTGTAGTCCTAGCACTCTGGGAGGCCGAAGCAGGAGGATCACTTGAGCTCAGGAGTTTGAGACCAGCCTCAGCAAGGGCGAGACCCCCGTCTCTACTAAAAATAGAAGGAAATTAGCTGGACAACTAAAAATATATAGAAAAAATTAGCCGGGCATGGTGGCACATGCCTGTAGTCCCAGCTACCCGGGAGGCTGAGGCAGAAGGATGGCTTGAGCCCAGGAGTTTGAGGTTGCTGTGAGCTAGGCTGACGCCATGGCACTCTAGCCAGGGCAACAGAGTGAGACTCTGTCTCAAAAAAAATGTTTTTCCAGTATATAATACACTACTATTAACTGTAATACTCATGCTATACATGAGCTCTCTAGACTTATTCATCCTACATAACGGCAAGTTTGTACCCTTTTTCCTACTTTTCCCCATTTCCTTCTCCCACCATTCTACTGTTTCTCAGTATTCAACTATTTTTAGATTCCACATATGAGTGAGATCATGTAGTGTTTGTCTTTCTGCATATTTCATAAAGTCATCCTTGTTGTCCTTGTTCCTCGTTGTCCCTGTTGTTGGAAATGGCAGTATTTCCTTTTTTAATGCTGAATTAATAGTCTGTTGCGTGTATGTACCACAATTTCTTTATCCATTCATCTGTTGTTAATGGGGACTTCGGTTGTTTCCGTATCTTGGCTTTTGTGAATGGTGCTGCACCCAGCTAATTGTTTTTAACCTGAAATAGGAGGAACTTCCGCTCCACCCGAGGAGCTGCCCTGAGTGCTTACCCTCCTTGTGCCTCTGACCTGGCAATGCGGATCCCCACCTCAGGATTTGATTTTCCAGCTATCAAAGGTCTAAAAGGTATCTTTGGACACTTGGACTTAAAGAAATTCAGCAATGTACAGTGAGCCGTTTTCTGATTGCTTGGGAAGTACCAAAAGGTAGGAGGTACGATGCAGACAGCATATGGGTCAGAGTCCTCCCACGCTGGATATTGAACAGCTGTGAGAGCTTTCGATGCCCAGGAGGGACTGCAGCAGCCACCTGGCACAGCAAGCGTGAACTTCGGGTCAGAAAGATACAAGAGAGGTGCCAGGAATAAAGATATTTATGTTGAGTTTTATTGACCTCATAAAAACTTGCAGCACTATCAGTTGGTATGACACTTTCCAACAATTTTGTGCTGTTTTTCCCGTATCATGATGTCATGCCTAGCTCTCTGAGCCTCAGTGTCCTGATCTGTAAAGTGGAGATAATAATTTTTGCCTCATGGAATTGTTGGGATGATTAAAAGGGAGAACTCAAATGAAAACACTTTGTAAACTGTGAAAAAACAGCACACATACTGGTTCTCTTCAATAGGGCCCATCTGTCACCAAAAGAAGGAAAGACAGTTGCACAATTAATATGTCATTTCCATGCTGGTAACTGCCCCTGAAGACCTTGAACTTGTTGTCAAAGTGTTCTTGTCATTTCCGCACTGATCCTTCTCTAACCTGCTCCCAACATCATGAAGCGATTCACGGGCTCAAAATCATAAATTCTGGGCCAGGCGTGGTGGCTCACGCCTGTAATTCTAGCACTCCGGGAGGCTGAGGCGGGAGGATTGCTTGAGCTCAGGAGTTCGAGACCAGCCTGAGCAAGAGTGAGACCGCATCTCAAATATTAAAAAAAATCATAAATTCTGTAGGGATAGGAACCAATATTGTCCTGTTCAACATTATATGCTCAGTGCCTGACACCTAGTAGGCATTCACTAAAACAAGGAGTGGGTAAGTAGGTAGACGAATCAGCCAACAAAATAAATATGTTCAAATTAAAGGTCCTAGAAATCTAGCCCCTCTGGGAGCCACAAGCTGATGACCGGCTGAGGGTGAATAAATATATAACTATGACATACAACTGAACAGGAGCCCTTCCCAAAGATCTCTTATAGTGAAGCTCACGCAGGCATTTGTGAAGAAAACACTTTAAAGGTACACTAGAAAGGCCTGCACCTGAGGAACTGTGGAACAACCATGCAATGGAATACCACCAGGAATTAAAAGGAGTAAACTATTGCAACAGGCAACAATGTGGATGAGTCTCAAAAGTGATGTGCTAAGTGAGGAAAACTGGACACAAAAGGTTATATACTATATGATTCCATTAATACTGCATTTGGAAAAGATAAAACTACAGGGACTGAAGACAGATGAGTGGTTGCCTGGAAGTAGGGAAGCGGATTTCTGCTGTTTACCAAATAGTTCCTGCTTTCTTCCTTCCAGGCTCATGCTGGGACGAACTTCCCGACCTCTTTGGAGTGTGGCCATGTGACTTGCTTCGACCAAAAAATTGTGAGCAGAAGTGAAATGTGTCTCTTCAGGGAAGATGCTTTAAGAGCCGACATGTGCTATTCACTTCTCTTGCCTCGGCAATCACGGCAACATGTGCTGGGATGGAACGCTGGAGTGCCTAAGATGAACATAGCCTAGTCAGTGACCAGGGTTGGACATGAATGAGAAACAAATTTTGTTGTGGTAAAGCACTGAGGTTTAGGAGTCACTTGTTACTGTGGCATTATTTAGCTGACCCTGACCAGTACAGCTCTCTAAAAGTAACACTAGCTGCTACAGTTCATGTGAATTGCTTGATTACTTGTTCGATGGCTGGAACATTTATGATCATCGTTAAAATTCTTCAACTAAGGTGTCGACATTTTTATCAAGAATTCAGATCAGAAACACTGCTTGGCTAATATTTGCCAAACCTGTTCTGTGAAGCTTTGTGATATGGATGGACTTTTGAACCAGAATGACCCAGGTTTGAAACTCACCTCTACTGCTTATTAGCTGTGGGACCTTGATGAATTTCTCAACCAATCCTATCATTAGTTTCCTCCTCTATAACATATAAGTAATGATAATACCTAATTTAGAGGTATATCGAGGGGTTAAATGATAGATGTCTCTGAAGCATAGCTAAATGATGGGATGTATCCAAGGCT